TTACGTTTATATATATATATATATATATATATATATATATATAAACTTAACATTTATAATATGAGGCATTCTCTATTTAAATATACACGAATTTGCATACATTTCCAGAACAGAAATCTGAACTCTAACACCAGGTTTAAATTTTGTTGGCATATTAGAGTTAAAGGTGTTTTCAGATGGGATTTTGAATATGTCTTTTTTTGTTCCGCGTTAAATCAGATAATACTGTCAACAGCCAAACAAAATAAAATACCAGGTTAATTATACATTAACAAACCCTTCTGTAAAAACCTGCAGAATATTAACAGGAATAAGACTGTAACGTAATTTCTAAGTGCTGCTGAAGTGGAGATTAAGACAGCGTACATAATGCCAGGCAATCAATGTAGAGCTTGCCAAATCCAGAAAGTGATTTACAGTTTTGTTTCCAAGAGGTTTCGAACTCTAGGTGGTCTGTAGGTGTGCCAAAGTCAATACGAATCTAGATCAAATATTTTAACAGCTTACTGGTGAAAATATAACCAGCGTCAGATACGGGCTCCAGCAACAATAGTAGTATTATGCGTGGAGTCAGTCCTGACGTTTGCCTTGTGTACATGTGTGTGATGTTACCGAAGGCATGCCGTGGCGTTGTTGAAGACCTCTGGTGCCAGGCTGGTGTTGGAGTTGTCGTCTGTACTTGCTGAAAACGGCTCGATGACTTTCTCAGTGAGCGCAGGCAAGGCTGTGTGGAGCAAATCCAGCTTAAGGTTATCTGCAGAGGAGAGATTCCACAGGAGACCTACAACCACAGAAAACCGACACAGATCAGACTGATACAAACACAGTCCAACACAGTGCAAAACACTACTGTTTATAAGTTTAGGGTTTTAAAGTTTTTGAAAGACGTGAAGTTATGTTCACCAAGGCTGCATTTATTTGATTAAAAATATAGTAAAAACTGTAATATTGTGAAATAGTATTACAATTTTCAGCAGGACAACATTAAATTACAAACTAAAGCAAAATAAAAATTACTTACGCCCTATTAAAACAGATTAAAAACAAACCTAATAATAATCCTACAAAAATACAAAAAAAAAAAACATTTGAACCACATCCCTGCTGTTAGTTTATTTCAGGTTCAAAACAAGTTTGTTAATGGTGACACTTTACAATAAAGTTCAATTTATCAATGTTAGCTAATGCATTAGGTATCATAAACTAACAATGAACAGTATTATTAGCATTTTTATTGAATAATTGTACAGCCTTTTTTTAAACTAGGTTATAGTATTCTAATAACCTAGTATTTTGGTTCTAGTATAACTAGGTAATCTAGTTTTTTTACATATATTCAAATTGTGTAAATTAACATTAATTCAGGTCTTCTGAACATTTTTACATACATTAATACATTTTTAGCATTTCAAGTTACATAAACGAACATTAGCCAATGTTTTCTGAACAAACATGAATTAACAATGAACAATACTTTATTTATGAATTACACTACTCAACTGTTCAGAAGTTTGGGATCTGTAAGATTTTAAATGTTTGCGACAGTCTCTTGTGCTCACTATGGCTACACATATTTAATCAAAAATGCAGTAAAATTGTGAAATATTATTAAAATTTTAAATAACTGTTTCCTATTTAAATATACTTTAAAATTTAATTTATTCTTGTAATGCAATGCTAAATTTGAAATTAAATTTATATTAAAGCTTAGGCAAAGTGACCTAAAAACCATCATATAATTAACTGTCATACTTTAAGTGGAGGACACGCATACAGTAGTGTGGTCTAGTATTGTGGCATGTGCTTTGAATGGTTGTGTTGACGTATTCCTCTTATCAGCACATGTGTGTGTGACATGAATGTGACGCAAACATAGACGGTTGGCCACCTGTCAGGTGTTTCTGTGTCTCAGAGTTGCTCTTGCCGAGCAGCTGCACAACCTGTGTGATTCCTCTGCAGCGCTGCACTTCCTCTTTGTTGGCCTGGTTTTTGAAGACCAGGTTCCTCAGAGCAGCGGCCACTGTCTCCTGGACCTGAGGACTGGGGCTGTTCAGCAGGTTGACCAGCGGAGGAATGCCCTTCAGGGTCAGCACCTGTGACGCAGGACACACTCAATGAGATGGTGCAATCCCTGACTAAATGTACTGTGGTGATACCATAGTACACTGATGCAATCAGATGCAGTGTTGCTATTGTTAACTTAAACATTTTTGAATTAAAATTTAAATAAAGCTAAAGTAACATAAGATACAAAAATTAGATGAAAAACTTTAGAAAAATGAAATAAAATAAGTTGGAGTAATAAAATGACTAACACTAAAACTGAAATTATAAAAAAAAATGACAAAAGCATATAACAAAATTAAATTAAAATGAAAATATGCTAATTAAAAAAAAAAAAAAAAATTAAAAAATTTTTCAAAGAATATGGTATAAACATGGTACCTGTCTATATAACTTGATATTACCATGGTACCACATTACACTACCACGGGAGTACCATGGTATTCTTGGAAGTACCATGTAGTATCATATGAAAACCATGGTATATTACCATAGATTTACTATGGTATTATAAAAAATAAACTACAGAAACATCATGGTAACACAATCAGATGGTAGGATGATGGTACTTTGCTCTAACATTCATACATTCATGCCGTAAAAAGGTTTTTGCCCCCTTCCTGTTTTTTTTTATTTTTTGCATATTTGTCACACTTAAAAGATTCAGATCATCAAACAAATTTTAATATTACACAAAGATAACCTGAGTAAATACAAAATGCAGTTTTTAAATGATGATTTCATTTATTAAGGGAAAAAAGCTGTCCAAACCTACCTAGCCCTACGTGAAAAATTATTTGCCCCTCCTCTTAAATCATGAAAGAACTGTGATTAACCACATTATTTTAGAAAGCTGAGTTAAATTTCACTAGCCACACTCAGAATTCATCCACAGCGATGTGAAAGACTCACTGCCAGTTATCACAAACGCTTGGTTGCAGCAAAGGGTGGCACAACCAGTTAGTAGATTTAGGGGGCAATTACTTTTTCATGAAGGGCCAGGCAGGTTTGGACAGCTTTTTTCCCTTAATAAATAAAATCAATATTTAAAAACTGCATTTTGTATTTACTTGGATTATCTTTGTGTAGTATTAACATTTGTTTGATGATCTGAATCTTTTAAGTGTGACAAATATGCAAAAAATTAAAAAACAGAACGGGGGAAAAACCTTTTCACGGCAATGTATAATTCAAATTGTAAAAGACTACCAAGTTAAAGGGGTCATATGACGTTGCTAAAAAAGAACATTATTTGGTGTATGAAATGTGTTTATGTGGTTTAAGGTTAAACAAAACATTATTTTCCACATACTGCACATTATTGTATCTCCTCTATGCCCCGCCTTTCTGAAACACGTCGATTTTTACAAAGCTCATCGGTCTGAAAAGCAAGGTGTACGCTGATTGGCCAGCTTGTGGGGGCGTGTTTAAACGAGGCGTTTTAGGAGGGAGCATGGACGAGTCTTAACTTTTGTGTCCAAAAAACATAACTTCTATAAAACATGGCAATACCAGAAAAACCATGGTAATAGTATGGTAAATTTTTGGCAATCCATAGAAAATGTACCATGGTATTGTCATAAAAATATACTATGGAAACACAATCGTAGTACATTGACCAGTCATTCATTCAGGACTTTGGTATATAATTCAAATACTACAGTATTTATACAATACTCAAATATATTTAAAGGAATACCATGTTAATAACAAAAAGCATTACTTCAATGTACCCTTTGGTGTTTTATAAAATGGTACTTTTTTGTCAATCCAAAGATACTTGTACCATGGTATTCTCATAAAAATATACTATAGAAATACCATGGTAATACCATGATGTTATTAGATGGTGTATACTGTAATTCAAATACTATGTTGGTGATCAAATATATTTCAAGGAATACCATGTCAATACCATGGTAAATGTCCAAAAAAACCAAATAATTTCTACAGTATATGCCTAAAAAGCATGGTAAAACCAAGGTAGTTTATGGTCCAGACCTCTTGCTTGGCCTTGTCATCGGTGAAGGTGCTGTGCTGGATGTAAGCGGCTCCACACAGCTGGTGGCTCTCATCCGTGCTGAACAGATAGTCGACCGCGTCTTGCATCGTCATATCGGCCATAAGCTTCTCTGCGTTCATCCTATCGACAAACGAGTGAGTGAGAGACCGGTCACAGATCATCACAACATAATCGTAACACTACAAAACTCACCCAGAGATGTCCTTGGCCTGTCCGGTCCTGATCATGGACACCCTGGACTCTCCGTTGGATTGCAGGGAAGTCGGGTGTCTCATGGTCCGTTGCATGGTACTGGCCTGATTGCTGTTAGGCATTCTGGGCACATTGCTGTTTCCGTAAGCCTGGGCAGGTTGAGTGGTTGGCACTCTGGTGAGGATCTGTCGGCTGGTTTGGGTGCGTAGAGTGGCGGCGGTGGCGCCGACGTTGCCGGTGGACTGGAAGCCCAGGTCTGGAGCACTGCGGGTGGTGTTGTAGCTGTACAGTTGGTTATTGGTCTGGGTTTGGGCAGGGAGGGTGCCGGTAGCGCTGTAGAAGGACCGATCGAACTTGCCGGAGCCACTGGTCACCCGCTGACCACTGGCGCTGTGGGAGTTGGTGGACTGGCGCACAAAGCCTTGCCTTTGCATAGTCTGGACACAGAAACAAATGAACCTTTTCACTTATGCTGATATCATAATTTGGCATTAAAAAATCTAAATGCAAAAAAATAATTAAATGTTACATTTTAATATATAATTAAATGCAAAATAGAACATTTTAACTAGGGCCATCAAGACTGTGTATCCTTTAGTCTTGATCCTGCAATTATACTCTGAAAACACTTATAGGCCTGAACTTATACACTTAGAGAACCCAAACATTTTATTGTTTGGACAAAGAAACAAGTACATTTTTCACGCTATTTTCATAATTTGTCATTTTCTAAAATCTAAATGCAAATAAATAAATAATGCACATTTTAATTTAAGATTAAATGCAAAATAAAGCATTTTAGCAAGTGTTATCAGGCTGTGTATACTTTAGTCCTAATCTTATAATTATACCCAGAAAACATCATAGTCTGGTCATAGAGACAAGTACATTTTTCACTCAAAATTTTCATTTTGATATTACAATTTCTAATAAAAAATCTGAATGCAACAAAAGGCAAATTTAAATGTGTAATTAAAAGCAATACAGAGCATTTAACTAGTGCTATCAGACATTAGGCCTAATCTATACACTGAAAACATCAGACAACTCTGAAACCAACGTTTTCATTTGTATAGTCTGCATAGTCTGGACGCAGAAACAAGTCAATTTTTTCACTTAGATGTTAATGCTGAGATCATAATTTGTAACTAAAAAAAAAATCTAAATGCAAAAATTTTAATGCAAAAAAAAAAAATGCAAATTTGTATTTATAATTAAATGCACAATAGAGCATTTTAACCAGTACTCTCAGATTTTAGTCAATTTTATGATTATACACGGAAAACACCATACATCTGCATAGTCTGGAGATAGAAACAGTTTGATTTCTCACTTTAATTTTCATGCTGATTTCATAATTTGTAATGGAAAGAAATGCAACACAAATGTTAATTTATAATGCAAAAATAAAGCATTTGTAACGAGTGCTATCATACTGTGTATACTCTAGTCCTAATCTTAAAATTATACACTGAGAACGACTCTGAACCCATCATTTTAATTTAATCCCTGCCCTGCCTTTTGCCTGAACAAGAGTGTTAGCCGAAAGTATAACTATGGGCATGTCCATGAATTAAAATGCAAGCAAAGTGGCTCTACGTCTAGTCAAACTATGAAGCAACAGTGTGCCGTTTGTGAGAAAATAACTGAATGATTTGTGTACAAGTATGTCCGTGAATAATTCAACAACAAAACGTTTTTTATGCACTTAAAAACAACATAAATTAAGTAACACAATGCACAAGCCATTTAAAACACAGACGGCATTAAGATTCCTGCAGATACACCCAAATGTAAAGAAGGGTTGGCAGAATACCTAGAAACCATGCAGGCCGTTTGGTAATACAACACTGGGATGAGTCAGAAAAAGTGAAGGAGAGGAGTGGTTTCATTTAGCCTTTTTCCTTTATTTCTTGCACAACTCTATATAGAAAAAGTGAGCAAGTCGCAAATTCAAGTTTTTTTTTAATGCAAGTAGTATAAAAGTGAACACATAGGACTATATGGACACACTACAGACTAACTATGTAAAATTAGGTGAAGGTAGTAACTGCTTTTCATCCACTGACGTCTTTCATGGATTGATTTGTGCCTATTAACTATTGTTGTTTTTATAAGAATAGCATTTCGAATTCAGAAAAATATACGTGTAAACCAGGTTATTAATGGCAAGCTAAAGACCGTTTGACATTTCACATGTTTCCATTGTTATCCTGAAAGATGACTGAAAGGTGAATAATGAAAAAATGTGCTTTACCCACCCAACCGTGGGAAACTGAGATGCAGAATTAATTTACACACACCTGATGATGTGCATAGACATATATGTGCGAACACATGCAGAGTGCATATGGAACAAATAAATGTTTAGATATACATATTTCGATGACATTTACCCCATTTGTCATGGTTCCTCCTCTGCTGAACGAGGGTCCGCTGAGAGACGCGCCGGGAGAGAACTTGAAGTCATAAAACACACCGTCACTTTCAGGGCCTGCAATTGAATTATGACAAACGACAAATAAAATATGCATTCAGGGACATTTTGAATTATGAAAATAAAAATATAAAACTCACAACTATCCTCTATAAGGTACGTATTTTACAGAGGTTAACTCTTCGTTGGTACTTCTGTGGTCTATAACAAAATGAGAGATCACGGTCCTCTGAAAACAGGTTTTTACTGAAACAATTACTTTATTATGGCTTTATCCAAGTCAAAGAAATTATTTAATATGACTGAATGAAACCAAATAGCTTGGTTTACAACAAAAGAGATTTTTTTTTTTAGAAAAAGAAAGCGCACATTTTCACTTTTTACAGTATTGAATTGGCTAGTGGTTTATCCATTAACAATTAAGAGTTTATATTAGAAATCATGGACTATTTGTTATGTGTAATGTACTTCTAAATTAACTAGTTATATAAAGGCAAAGACAATATTTAACATGACTGAATGAAACCAAATACCTTGGTTTAAAATAAAAGTGATTTTTAGAAAAAGAAATGGCTCATTTTCACTGTTCATCACAGTATTGAATTGCTTACATATAGTGATTTATCCATAAATAATAAGAGTTTATAGAATCAATGCATTTTTAACATGTATAATTTACTTCTAAATTTACTGGTTTTATTCAAGTCAAAGAAATTATTAAATATGACTGACTAGTTTTATAAAGGCAAATACATGACATAATATGACTGCATGAAACCAAATACCTGTGTTTAAAATGAAAGTGATTTTTTTAGAAAAAGAAATTGTTCACTTTCACTTTTTACACTATTACATTTCCTCTGGTGGTTGACCTATTAATAAAAAGAGTTTATATTAGAAATCAACTCCATCAAACAATTACACATTTCTTGTAACAATTCTTTTGTTCTCTTGGGACAAAAAAATTATAATAATAAAATAAAAAATAAAAAAATCAAGAGACCGGATTTTAACCTTCAATATGCAAATATACTAAACAAATAACGAGGAGCTGTTTATCAAGAGGCTATTTATGGCGGAGTAAAACAACTCCAAAAGCACTCAAATTAGGCACATTTTTCTTGAAAAACTATTACTTTATTACTTATTTTATATATTATTTGATGGTTAGCCTAGCTAAAACTAAAAACACATTTAAGCAGTTTCGCATGTTGGCCTACATACTACGTACTTACTATAGTAATTGCAAGTCAAAAATTCCGCTAATAGTTTCATGGTGTTACCTTTTGAGTGTAAACTGTAAAAAGTACCACGATTTCACCATAAAGTATCACAGAAAAAAATATGGCAATACCATGGAACGCTTTTGAAAATGAAGTCCAGGGAAGATGAATATCATGGTATTCCCATATTTAAGCACGAAACAAGGCCGACCAAAGTGCTGCACAACATACGATAATATATAACAAGGAGAAAATCAGTAAACAAATAGAAACTATTCAAAATCCATACAACAACAAAAGCAGATTAAAACAATTCAAAGGCACATATTAGTACATGTTAAAAGCCAGAGAGAAAAGATGTGTTTTAAGATATGACTTGAACTCAGATAAAGTGGAAGCCATTCTGATGGGAACTGGTAAGTTGCTCCAGAGGGTGGGACCAGCCACTTCAAAGGCTCTAGATCCTGTGGTTTTTAAGCGGGTTCTAGGGGTCTGAAGGAGAAATTTGCCCTCTGATCTTAGTCCCCTCTTCGAGGAGTAGGGGTGGAGTAAATCACACAAATAAGACTGTGCTTGATTGTTAAGTGATTTATAGACAAGTAGCAATTTCAAGAATCTAGCTGCAGCATTTTGAACTACTTGTAGCCGAGAGATTTGGGACTTTGATATTCCGAAATAGAGGGCGTTGCAGTAATCCAGCCGAGACGTAATAAAGGCATGGATAGCAACCTCTAGAGAGCTTTTTGAGAGAAATGACTTGATTTTAGAAAGGGAGCGAAGATGGAAGAAGCTAGAACCTACTACAGCACTAATTTGTTTATCAAATTTTAAGGAATTATCAAACAACACACCCAGATTTCGAACATGGGGAGAAATGAAGGAGTTTAAGGTCCCGAGATTGGGTTGAATACTTGCCCTATGTTCTGAGGGACTAAAAACAATAACTTCCGTTTTATCTGGGTTCAAGAATAGAACGTTTTTAGAAAGCCATGATTTGACATCAGTAAGACAAGCAGTAAGAGTACCAATGGTAAAGTTTGTTTTCTTAGTCAGAGGCAAATACATTTGTAGGTCATTGGCGTAACAGTGAAAAGAGACGTTGTGTTTTCTAAAAATAGAGCCCAGAGGAAGAAGATAAAGAGTAAAAATCATATCAAAAGTAAAAAAAACGAAAACACATGCCGATTCCGTTTAAAAGCCGTGTGTTATCAGCTGAAGCGCACTCACTGGTGGGGGAAGAGAGTCCGGACACGCTTTTGCTGCTGGTTTTGGACTTGCTCCTCTTGATGGTGTGAACCTGCTCCAGAACTCGCTGCTGCGCGGATCTCAGCTCGTGATCGGACGGAAGCGCGAGAGACGTGTCCTCCACATCTCCGATGGACAGAGCCGATTTTAAAGGTTCGGGCATCATTTTGGCTTTTGTCTCCACTCCAGAGACAGGCGAGGTCCAATTCGTAAAGCTCCAACTATCTGCTCCGTCTGGCTGCTCTGCGTTTGATTCAGGGGTTGACTCACAGAGAGATCCACCTGGTCCTGCCCTCATTCACGCCCATTCAACACCTGTTCTTCTGCTCCTCTCACTCCTGATTACACTAAGAAAGCTCAGTGATGATAGAACAAAGCGTCACTTTTAATAAGGATAATAGATATACTTTAAAAGGGTCCAATTTTCATTTTAATATTATGGAAAGGGCGTTAGGCACGACGCGCAGGTGTATTTATTCACAAAGCATCTTAAAGAGTCCTGTGACTTTTACACATTTAAAAGGCTATGTCATAAAATATCGAAAGACATAATTCTCCATTAAAAGCGTTCATTAAGTGGCACCTTCCGGTAGAAAATATAGTCCCTATATAAACAGAACGAGGTGACGTTGACATTAAGCAGCCAATCAGAGCGCTGTATCGAGCATCCGGGACCGAAACTGTCTGTGAGTTTAAAAAAATAATAATAAAAAATAAAAATAATGAAATCAGATGAAAAAAAAAATGAATAAAATGTATAGTATTTAAGATAAATATAATAATGATGCACATACGTACTTAAATACAGCATGATGAAATTCTCCAGAGTCCAGAAGTTATTCCAAAAGAACTGTATATTGTTAGATTAAAAACAATAGTTATAGGGGACAAAAGAAATATGATTACAGTTTACATCTAGAGTATTTTAGCGGTTTAATTAAGTTATACAATTAAAATAAATATTAATGTAATATCAACACGACTAATAACATTTTTGTTGTTATGTATCATTTTTATTTAAAATAGCTCAATAAAATGATGCATGTATTTAATACTGCATATAAGCAAAATCAAGGTAAAACATTGATTTATATCAATTTATTGTGCAGTATATATGGCCATAAGCATGTGGCAACAACAACTATACTACACTTGGTTACAGCTTTACCATATTCGACAAATTAAATTGATTACATTTAATTTACATTTTTCTCAGTATCAAAAATGTTTACATTTATTTGAAAAAAAAAAGGCTGCTTTGCATCAAAATTGAAAAAAGTTAAATTGTTAATATATTTTTGAATTTTTATTTTTTTTATACTAATATACATTTACTAGTTTTCATTCAACAATATAATTGTATGCATTTTTGTACTATCCCTCTAGTATTCCCTCAACAATCCCTCAAATGAGTTACTAGGGGAAAAGCTGCCAATCCAGTTGTTGCAGGAGAACTGCAACCCATCAGAAAGGGCGTCTACAGAGGGTTGAAGCAACCTGAGCAACCCCAAATGAACTCTCAAGTGCCATTTCACTTTTAGCATTTACTTTTAGTGTTTCACTAGCACTGCTGATGGTATAAACATGTTTGTCTACCTATTAATTTAAGACATTGTTTTCTTATGAACAAAGACCTTTTAAGTGCAGCCCCGAGGCCATGCATGAGCACGACTGCTGAGAACCTCCATGACTAAGGTAAGGACTCATCAGCAGAGCAGACTGCATTAGTAAAAACACATGTGCAGACAGCGGCTCCTGCCACACCCAGAGTCATCTGCACGGGCAGGTCCCGCTCCACAATGTGTCATCACTGATGTTAGAACACGTCAACAGTAAATGACAGCGTATACTCTTTAAGACAGCGAATGGGAAAGTCTTTGGCTTTGTCCTATTCTGAAGGAACAAAGAGGAGGAGCGGTAACTTTCTCTTCTTGTACTTCTTAAGTTCGAACAAATAACCACACAATTAAAAAACAATTTTACTGGGAGTACTCAAGTTATATATACAATAATATCTGTATCTCTATCAAATATCGCTAGTTTACTATGTTCATAGATGTAAATTTTGAGAAGGACGTCAAACGTTATTTTCAAAAACTGAACTAGCTCTAATATCTACTAAATGTAGCAACTGACAGTATACTGTATATTTGTGTAATAACAGCTACCATGAACAATTTTTCAAGTTACTAAAGATTCTCATAATACTTGACCAATACTGCACCCTTGTGGTAAGTAGATCACATTAAAACTAAATAAAAACACTAGATTGCTGAAAAATTGATATGCATTGTTTATTCTTTTTATAAAAGGTACAGTTATGTAATAAACTGTTACATTAGAGAGACATGAGATTATTGACAGGTTAAACAAAAGGAAGATGCACAATAATGGAGTGGTTTGACCAAACAATCTAATAATAGTTACAGTACACTGTATGGTTTTATTCTTCTCCGCTTGACTTTCTCAAACAGTAACTGAAAATATGAGGTTTCTTCTGGTTTCCCAAAATGGTCTTATCATGGACATAACCTTAACCGTTAGCCATCCAGTTCACAATGAATGCAGAAAACATCACAAACTCATGGTTGGAAACATTTAACAAATAAAGGACAGAAACACCTGCGCAGCAGGTCTCCATTTACAAATGTTAGCAAAGAGAAGAACATTCAATTAGCAAGTGATTATAAGCTGTCATATGCCATTCATACTGGTCCATTCTTCTAAAGCAGTGGCTTTCAAGTTTCAACCTTTATGAGTTTTGATATTTGAAGGCCCCTATTATATATATAACACTATATTATATTAGTTGTGTGTGTTTTAACTGTATGCTCTTCAAATAAGGGAAAAAATATGATTTCAGTTTACATCTTGAGATTATGTATTGTTAACATTTTAATTTAGATAACTAAATAATACATTTTAATTGTTATTTTTAATTAATAATTATTAATAATAACAATGTTAATGTGTATATTAACCATATGTATTGATTTTTATTTTAATTATATATATATATATATGTATATATGTTTTTTTTTAAATAATTTTAAGTCATTCTGTGATCCTGGTTGAGAACCATTATGAAATAATTAAGTAAAGTGAAGTAGATCTGTCATGCAAGTAATGATTTTAATAACTTATTGTCTAATTTTCTGGTTTCTTTGCTCCCAGGTATAAGTATCCCCAATATCGATGTGAAAAAGCTGCATAGTTAATAAAACCAGGTAAGTGTTCAGTTAAGACATTATAAAATAGTGATAAGTTCTAATTCCACTCAAATGTCACATTTGGTTTAACTATCTGGCTACAAATGAATAGAATCCTTACTGTCTAGTGGTTTTCGCAAATGGTCCGAGGATAAAACCTTGGGGGACTCCTTAAGCTGTTCTTGAAAGCTACTTAGTGCCAGTCTCATCTGGTCCTCAGTGCCTTGCAGTGCCTTCACCTCCATGCTGTAGAAGACGTACAGCATCAGTGTGGAGAGGAGGACGGCAAAGCACAGTGCCCCCAGCAGGTAGAAAGAGGCTTTGGGAAAGGGCTGTTCAGTTCCCAGAGCAAACAATGGGACAGCGGCGATTGCTAGCTCAAGCACTAACAGGACAAGACCCATAATGCCTGTACGCGCTGCTGTGTGGCGCATGCGCTCAGCGCAGTGGAGACCCACCTTTACTTCAGTACGAGCTTCATTGACTGTGTTGACCAGCTCAGGAAGCTTATCTGAGAAAGAAAGAGACAGAATGGAAAACCATACACTAACATTTAAATGTTTGAGTTCAGTTAGATTTTTTTATAATTTTTTTTAAAGAAATCAATACTTTTATTCATTACAATGGATTAAATTAAGTGACAAAGACAAAATTTCAAATAAATGCTGTTCTTTTAAACATTCTATTCAGCTTTCTTTCTGTATTACGGTTTTGATAAAAATATTAAACAGCACAACAGTTTTGAACTTTGATAATAATAAGAAATGTTTCTTGAGCAGCAAATCAGCATATTAGAATGATTTCTGAAGGATCATGTGACACTGAAGACTGGAGTAATGATGCTGAAAATTCAGCCTTGCATAAATTAGATGTTAAAATATATTAAAATAGAAAACAGTTATTTGAAATTGTAACAATGTTTCACAATATTATTGTTTTTGCTGTATTTTGAATCAAACAAATGAATTCTCAAAAAGCATCATTTACTCACCCTTAAGTTGTTTCAAACTGAAAATGTTTTTTTTTTAATTTAATTATTAATTTATTCATTCATGTACGTATGTATGTATTTATTTATTTAGAAGTTTTGAGCAATATGACAGAGTAATTAATATTTTTTGGGTGCACTGTTCCTTTAAAGCACATTGCATATCCAAAAAACAAGCAAGCAAACCCAAGCAGTCAATTCTCAAACTTTATTAAAGCGCATCAAAATAGAGAGCATTGGTTTATTGGCAAGATTTTTTTGTTGTTGTTGTTGAAGCAAAAATGTGTGTATTTAATATTGTAAGATCCCCAAAACTGAAGAGCAAATACCTGAAACACAGCCAGATTGCCGCTCTGAGCACCCATTTCCCTTTGTAGTCGGTGTAAACAGGAACTCGGCCGTGAGAGCCTCGTGGTCAGAGTAAGGGAAGGGATGTCCAGGAACAGGGCCCTTAGTGGTGGACAAAGACTCACAGCTCACATCCACTTCCCCTGATCCCTGCCAGAAAAACAGCGCTGTTTCATTCATGAGCATACAGGTAAAGAAAGCTGTTTTAAAGAGAAGTAGATCTGACGTAATAATTTTGTTAATTTGTTTAATTTTCTTGTCATTCGTGTCTGTAGGAGTTCCTTTTGTTTAAATGACTAAACCAGAGCATAAGCAACAGTATGGGGATTAGAAAAACACTGCTTAATAACAGAAAACGCCACTTAATAATAACAACCAGTAGAAAACCCAACAAGTATCTAATATTTACCTTGAACAGGATGTAGTCTATCCGGACTCCTCCTCCAAATGGAACAAGCCCATCTGTGTTTGTGAATGGGTTTTCAGATATATGAGTGTGTCCCTCCTCACATCCCTGAAACAAATGACAGGATGGCTGTCATAAATCATAATTTAGAAAGCAAGGTGACTTTACATTGCACACACTCAGTCATTACGAGAATCCAGGCAGCATCACAGTACTAACATCAAAGTCCGCCGTCTCACTGAAGCTGTCCTGAAGTCCTGTGTAGTTTCTCAGCAGTCTGGTGCCGAGATCGTCCGGGTGCATGTTCAGATCTCCACCCAGAATCACCACGTCCGCTCCAGCACTAGTGTGCCTTTATCGAA